TAGTTAACTCTGAGAGGAGACGAACTGATCTAGTCAAGAACGCAGTAATGAAAACACCAGGTAACTAGGTAACTGCTATGCCATGCTACACTGTACCCGAGTCATGACACTCTACACTTCCGTCTGGGATGTCGGACTATCGACCCTCCTGCGTTACACTTACACTTTTATAAATATTGTTACATAATATTAATCCACACCAGCACGAGACCTGACCCTCGCGTCAGGACATTTCTGATGAATTTATCATGGTGAGATTGTATTGAATACATAATGATGCAAGTCATGAGAGAGGGATGAAGTCTGGAAGCGATGTCACATATATGACAGTCTCATGGAAAGTCTAGCTGGCAACAAATGCGTATTGTTCTTCAACCCTGCTAGATGAAGCGTCTGTTGATATCTTTCACGATATTCACCCTGAAAATGAAAAGCTTTGACAGTATTAAATACGATATTTGAGCACTTTTCAAGAGCATATATTGTCCCACACTTGACATCGTCAGATTTTATCACATATCTATCAAGTAAGACACATATGCAACAGTTAGGTATCTTTATTTTGGGACCTGACCTCCCAACATCTGAGTTCTTACCTCTTCTAGTGACCTACGTCTCACCTCTTGGCGCTATATAAGGCTCCATCCTGTCACTTCATCTCCATATTGTTTCATACTATGGAACAATGCTCTTCTCCAGACTGAGGGACTGACCACCTCAAAACTTTAAGGGTGATGGACTGATTACATCGTCTTCAAGTATCTTCTGCTTCTATCAACTTTTCTGTACTCGACTGAAGAAGCCTACTGTGTAGGCGAAACGTTTCGAAATAAAGATACCTAACTGTTGCATATGTGTCTTACCTAACAACCTGTCGGTATTTTATACCATTTTAATGTTCACATATCTATCAACACAAGTCGCGCGGCTGGACGTCCAGTATGGCTGACATGTATGGCTGAATCGCGAAACCTCAGTCGTATTTATCTCCATCGCTTCATCTAATGTATTCCACTCACCATCCAAAGGCTGAAAAGTACTTCCTAAAGTCCCTATCACTCATGTTCGCGTTTTTGTATATTATGACCCACATTTTCCCTTCTGACAAAGACCTATTGTGACCTTTTTAATCATTTTTTTTTGCGGTACTGCTCACAGGATGACCTGCTGGTGCGCAAAAAACTAGTCGCTCAGGCGGCACAGCTAACTACCGTCTGTTGGGTAAAAGGACACAAGTGCAACTAATGTGACATTTTATTGTGGCAGCGTTTCGTTCTCCAGGAGCTTTATCAAGCCGTTACAAACAATACAGAGGGTATATATAGGCCTAGATTGAGGTGTAATATTAGTGGTAGTAGTAGTAGTTATAGAATTAGTAGTAATACAATATGGTAGAACAATCAACTTGCACAAGAGTAAAAGGTTATGAAGGCTATTACTTGCTTAGCATAAAAATAAATTAGACAAATATTTCTGAACATTAAAATGGTATAAAATACCGACAGATGGACTGATTACATCGTCTTCAAGTCTCTTCTGCTTCTATCAACTTTTCTGTACTCGACTGAAGAAGCCTACTGTGTAGGCGAAACGTTTCGAAATAAAGATACCTAACTGTTGCATATGTCTTACCTAACAAATATTTCTGTTGGTGGTTGGATACCCCTCAAGGAAGGTTCCTTGATGTTGGTGAGGGGCTCTTGATTTAGGGAATTGGATCTGTGCTCCAGTTCCCCGAATTAAGCCTGAATGCCTTCCACATCCCCCCCCCCCAGGCGCTGTATAATCCTCCGGGTTTAGCGCTTCCCCCTTGATTATAATAATAATAATGGTGGTTGGATTTGAGGTCTATTTCAGTGTTCCTCCTCTGTTGTGTTCTTGTGTAGTATTAGCAGCACAGACTGTGATGGTAGGGTTTATTGTTTTGAGGGGGATTTTTGCTAATACTTCAGAGATGAAGCATTAGCAAACATATTGTCGGTAATTCTACCAACATTAATACATCTACCGTCTGGTTAGACTCGTTTACTGGTTCACCGGCTGGTTCAGCTCGTTCGCTGATTCATCGTCTGGTTCGACTCGTTCACATGTTAACCGTTTGGTTCGACTAATTCACCCCAGTGAGTTTAATCGTGCAGATCCACCCCAGTTACAGAAAGTACCGCCACTGTCGACAATACACTTACTATAAATGTTACCTAAGTGCCAAGACCTCTTTGGTCATAGTACTTACATATCTACCTAGAATCATTAAATAATAATAATAATAAATAATAATAGTCATGCTACTTGTTGAGATTAATAAGGTTTCAAGCCCATCGACTACACTCTAGGTCATTAAGGTAGCAGAGTAACCATCGAAGTTAACTCTCGGAGTATATACGCTGGTATACACCACTCAGGGTATATATCCTGTGTTTGTTATCAACGACGTGAAAATACTTGATAGAAAAACACTATAACGAAAGGTCAGTATTATTATGCAGTGTTATATAGGCTGCTTAATTGTCTCTGTTGATGTATGGTTTTCATTTCGTTATTCATAATTTAATTTCTTATCTAAGCACTTGTTTGTTCAGTTTAATAATACAGTTAAGGGCTGCCTCATTTTTAACTCGGTATTCTTATCTAAGCACTGACTTGTTTGGTTAGTCTACTAATACAGCTGACAGCCGCTTTGAGCTTCTTCTGTCAGTTCTGCCATCTATTAGCAGTTGCAGCGCATTCAGCTCACAAAGGAAAAAACTTGGGATCGAGCCGGGTAATGGCAAGACGTATGGAGCAAGTCACCTAACACCTGTTACCCTTGTAATCTAGCAATAAACAGATATGTAGATGAATGGTTCAGAGAACCGACATGTTGATAAATTAGACACATGTGCAACTCTTGGGTATCTTTATTGAGGAAACGTTTCGCCACACAGTGGCTGCATCAGTCCATACATAGGAGAAACTTGAAGAACAGGAGGAGAATGAGGTAATCAGTCCCTCAACCTTGAGTCGATGTGTTCAGTCCATCAATCTTGAGTAGAATACGGCAGATGAGCGGAGAAGCAGCTTATAAACCGTATGGCAGGAGAGGTGCAGCAGTCATATGTATGGACTGATGAAGCCACTGTGTGGCGAAACGTTTCCTCAACAATAGGGACGTGTTTCAATAAGACACCTGCTGTCCCTGTTCACCCATTATTTTTCTTTGTTTTCTTTTCCTCGGTTTACTGTGTTCTGTTAGTCAGTTCCCCCGCCCCCCATCCTGCATTTGGTCCTATCCCTTGCGTGCTCATAGTTCTCATGCAGTGCTCCTTTTTCTTGTCCTTATACTCATCCCATTTCCTATGTGCGGGTTATTTATGAATTGTTACAGTCATGATGTTGTGAGTTTTCCTTTTCACAGTATTCCTTAGTTATAAAGAAAAAAAAACAACTTGGCTAAATAAAAAAATAATCAAATAAACACTTAATGATCCTCCTTCAAGGACTCCTAATAGTATTAATCCTTACAATTATTAAAATTATGTTTATAATGAAATTAGAATAACCATAATAATAAAGTGTTCCTACACACAAATAGAAAATAAATTCAGGTTCTCACACACTCGTGTTTCGTTCATCGTTAGGGTGATCGTTCTCATTCCTTCAACGGTCGTTAGCATCTCTGAAGAGTTTTTGCTTAATTTTGTTTCCAAACTGTTTAAGTTTCTTAGAGACCCAACACAAGCGAGAGGACGGGATATAGTCACATGTTTTAATACCTACACAGCTTCTCAAGCCTGTCAACACCTAACACTTCACCCCATTCCCTCGGGTCTAATACTCCACACAACCTATCGACACCTGCCACATCACCACACTTTCTCTCGATAACCTTCTCCAGTTTTTTGGAAGGACGTGACATTAACTTTAGGCCGTATGTGTCAATCATAATCAAAAGATAACTTACCAGAACATTGATGGACACGCCATCCTGAGGGTCATAGTAAAAGTCGGAGGACCCAGGCTGGTATGCAGAGTTGATCACACGGATTATGATCTCTCTGGTATTGAGACTGACATATAGATTTTGAGTCCAGTCGGGCCTGAATGCCCAGCCTTGATTTATCGCCTTTTTAACAAGTTGTGCCAATACCAAAGAGGCAGTCATGATCACCTCATCATCATTACAATGGTTTCTCATGAACTTTTGGAAGGTGTGACAGCGTGTGCGGTATGGAGTGGGAACGGCTTCAACACACAAGTGTTTGGAAGCAGATGAAAGTGACAGTATAATAACGTCTAGTTGTGGTAGTGCGTCCTCAGTGCTGGAGTGGACACCGTCCTCGGTGTTGGAGTGGACACCGTCCTCGGTGTCGGAGTGGATACCGTCCTCGGTGTCGGAGTGGACACCGTCCTCGGTGTCGGAGTGGACACCGTCCTCGGTGTCGGAGTGGATACCGTCCTCGGTGTCGGAGTGGACACCGTCCTCGGTGTCGGAGTGGACACCGTCCTCGGTGTCGCAGTAGACGTCCTCGGTGTCGGAAAGGACACCGTCCTCAGTGTCGGAGAGGACACCGTCCTCGGCATCATAGTAGATGTCCTCAGTGTAGGATTGGACATCATCTTCGTCCTCTGAGTGAGTTACCATCACCCAGTACCACAGCATCACCACCTACAACAGCATTCCTACAACAATCATCGCTACCATCAAACAGATGCTACTGTTCCCATTGGCTAGTGGGAGTTGATGTAAAGTTTGCTTCAATACATCAATCTCTTTCTGGAGACATTGATAACGCCAGACGCTGCTAACAATAGGAATATTAACACCCAGGAAGGAACATTCCTGTGAGGGCTCGTACATCTCAGCATCCTTACCCAGCAACAAATTATCTCTCCTCAGCCTGTATTCAAATTTGTGTACCACGTCACGTTTTAGTTGAAGATCATCGACGTGACGATCAAACAACACCTGACCACACATTAGAATAAAAAATCCCACGCAAGCCAAAAGAATTCGATTCATGATGAATAATCTCAAGCGAAGTGTTTTCTTAGTAAGGTAAATTTCAAACGTCTCACTCAAGAATAAATATTACTATTCCACTAGTTTATGAAGTAAATCCTAATATACCTTGACAGTATAGTTATGTTGTAATAAACTTATTAGAACCTTAAGAGTTAACGATCTCACTCAAATATTACTATACCACCGGCGAAGTATGCCCTAATATACTTTGTCAATTAATAAAGGTAGATTGGAATAAAGTACCGAACAGCGTATTAGTGGTAGATGTTTATTAGCGGTGGTGGTGGTGAAAGTTGTGGCTGTGATTTCAGCAGAAGTGGTGTTAGTAGTAGTAGTTACTGTAGTGATAGTAGTGTGTGTGTTAGTAGCGATAGTAGCAGTGTGGTGATATTAGTTGTGGTGTCTTGGCAGAAGTGGTGGTGGTGAAAGTTGTGGTTGTAATGGCAGCAGAAGTGGTGTTAGTAGTAGTAGTAGTGACTGTAGTGATAGTAGTGTGTATGTTAGTAGTGATAGTAGCGGATCAAACCTGAGTGCCTCCCATTCTCCCAGGTGATGTATGACATTTAGGGTTTATCATTAGCACACTCGGCTAACACACTGAGGTCTGGAGTTTGAATCTCGTGTACGGTTGGAAAACAATAGGGACGTGTTTCAATAAGACACCTGCTGTCCCTGTTCACCCATTATTTTTCTTTGTTTTCTTTTCCTCGGTTTACCGTGTTCTGTTAGTCAGTTCCCCCGCCCCCCATCCTGCATTTGGTCCTATCCTTTGCGTGCTCATAGTTCTCATGCAGTGCTCCTTTTTCTTGTCCTTATACTTACCAGTTTAATATAGACAAATGTAAAGTTCTAAATGTTGGACAGGACAATAACCATGCCACATATAAACTAAATAATGTAGATCTTAATATTACGGTTGCGAAAAAGATTTAGGAGTTCTGGTTAGCAGTAATCTGAAACCAAGACAACAGTGCATAAGTGTTCGCAATAAAGCTAATAGAATCCTTGGCTTTATATCAAGAAGCATAAATAATAGGAGTCCTCAGGTTGTTCTTCAACTCTATACATCCTTGGTTAGGCCTCATTTAGATTACGCTGCACAGGTTTGGTCACCGTATTACAGAATGGATATAAATGCTCTAGAAAATGTACAAAGGAGGATGACAAAGTTGATCCCATGTATCAGAAACCTTCCCTATGAGGATAGACTAAGGGCCCTGAATCTTCACTCTCTAGAAAGACGTAGAATTAGGGGGGATATGATTGAGGTGTATAAATGGAAGACAGGAATAAATAAAGGGGATGTAAATAGTGTGCTGAAAATATCTAGCCTAGACAGGACTCGCAGCAGTGGTTTTAAGTTAGAAAAATTCAGATTCAGGAAGGATACAGGAAAGTACTGGTTTGGTAATAGAGTTGTGGATGAGTGGAACAAACTCCCAAGTACAGTTATAGAGGCCAGAACGTTGTGTAGCTTTAAAAATAGGTTGGATAAATACATGAGTGGGTGTGGGTGGGTGTGAGTTGGACCTGATTAGCTTGTGCTACCAGGACGGTTGCCGTGTTCCTCCCTTAAGTCAAGGTGACCTGACCTGAGTAGGTTGGGTGCATTGGCTTAAGCTGGTAGGAGACTTGGACCTGCCTCGCATGGGCCAGTAGGCCTTCTGCAGTGTTCCTTCGTTCTTATGTTCTTATGAACAAATGTGACACCACCTATGACTGCTACACCTCTCCTGCCATACGGTTTATAAGCTGCTTCTCCGCTCATCTGCCGTATTCTACTCAAGATTGATGGACTGAACACATCGACTCAAGGTTGAGGGACTGATTACCTCATTCTCCTCCTGTTCTTCAAGTTTCTCCTATGTATGGACTGATGAAGCCACTGTGTGGCGAAACGTTTCCTCAATAAAGATACCCAAGAGTTGCACATGTGTCTAATTTATCAATAAACAGATACCTAGGAGTTAGCTGACGATTGTGGGACTCGGCCTCGGACAGAAAACTAAGTGTTATCCGAATGAAAATAAACTATATTGCTTAAATTTCTTATTAACCGTTCAGGGTACTAACAGGGTACAGGGTACTTTATCTTGTAATGTTCCATACACACATACACTCTCTCTCTCCTTCTGTCGTCTACCACCAGAGACTGACAGCAAAAATTTCACGGCTTGTATAGTTGAGTAACATTGCATAATGTTGACGACGTTGATGTTCAACTTGTTTAACCAGAGGAAAAGACGTCAATTTTCCTTCAGTCACTGTCGCTGTTATATCTGCTTTGGTGCCTTTAGTCTCTCTCTCTCTCTCTCTCTCTCTCTCTCTCTCTCTCTCTCTCTCGCTCTCTCTCGCTCTCTCTCTCTCTCATTCGTATGCTCTGCCTAGTACAATCCGCCTCATTATACAGGCTTTGTAGTGTACGAAACAGGAAACGTTTGTATGTAGTGTGTATGTGTAAGACCGCTTAATACATTACTTAAGATTAAAAGACAAGGGTCAGACTAAAGCATGTGTAATATATTTTCATTATTATTATGTTCAGGAGGGAAGCACTATACCCGTAGGGATTTATTTTCATGATTGTGTCTCTGACGAATCGCCAGTCAGTATTCTGCCACTAATACTCGTCTGTCTGTCTGCTACAGAGGTGTGCTGGCCGCTGCCAGGAGGCTCAACCTTACCTCGTACTTCCACTGGGTAGCCTCGGATGGTTGGGGCAAGCAGAGCCACCTGGTGGAGGGACTGCAGGAGGTGGCTGAGGGAGCCATCACAGTCGAGCTGACCAGCCAGGTAAGATTCTCTTTCTTTCCAGAACAGGAAACGGTGAGTAATTTTAAATTAGTATCTGTGTGGAAATATACGAATGGTGGGTTCCCTGAAGAATGGCATCATTGTGTCGATACTCCGCCATCTCGTTGAGAGCCTGAGAGAAGTGTGTTGCTGGGAGCAACAAGGACACCAGGATGTTTGGCTTCACAACAAGAAGCTTCGACCACAAAACTCGTCCAACAATACTGACAAACTATCATGCCTTCTTCAGACCACATCTAGAACTCGGTGTCCAGTATTGGTCCCTTAACTAAATAAGACTTAGATAAACTTGAGAGAGTACAGAGAAGAGCAATACAACTCGCACCATTAAGAAACAAACCTTAATCTGTTCTCTCAGAAAACAAGAGGCTTCGAGGTGACCTGATACAAATTCTCACGATATTAAACATGTTCGATAAACTGAAGCACGAAGATCTTTGATGTGAAACCAGATTCAGTTACGTGAAACAATATTATGAAACTACGTGGTATGAGGTTTAACACAAATATGGGCAAGGGTTTTTCCTTCAGAGATGAGAACACTGACGTAGTCTTCCCATATAAATAGTGTTTGCCAAATCCAATCTTTCAAGAATAAGCAGGATGGACATTTTGACAATATAGGATACTACTAGCCACAGAACACTGTGGGCACTAGCAACAGAACACTGTGAGCACTAGCCACAGAACACTGTGGGCACTAGCCACAGAATACTTTGGGCACTAGCCACAAAACACTTTGGGCACTAGCCACAGAACATTTTGGGCACTAGCCACAGAACACTGTGGGCACTAGCCACAGAATACTTTGGGCACTAGCCCCAAAACACTTTGGGCACTAGCCACAGAACATTTTGGGCACTAGCCACAGAACACTGTGGGCACTAGCCACAGAATACTTTGGGCACTAGCCACAAAACACTTTGGGCACTAGCCACAGAACATTTTGGGCACTAGCCACAGAACACTTTGGGCACTAGCCACAGAACACTGTGGGCACTAGCCACAGAACACTGTGGGCACTAGCCACAGAACATTGTGGGCACTAGCCACAGAGCACTTTGGGCACTAGCCACAGAACACTTTGGGCACTAGCCACAGAACACTTTGGGCACTAGCCACAGAACACTGTTGGCACTAGCCACAGAACACTGTGGGCACTAGCCACAGAACACTTTGGGCACTAGCCACAGAACACTTTGGGCACTAGCCACAGAACACTGTGGGCACTAGCCACAGAACACTGTGGGCACTAGCCACAGAACACTGTGGGCACTAGCCACAGAACACTTTGGCACTAGCCACAGAACACTTTTGGGCACTAGCCACAGAACACTGTGGGCACTAGCCACAGAACACTGTGGGCACTAGTCACAGAACACTGTGGGCACTAGCCACAGAACACTGTGGGCACTAGCCACAGAACACTGTGGGCACTAGCCACAGAACACTGTGGGCACTAGCCACAGAAACACTGTGGGCACTAGCCACAGAACACTGTGGGCACTAGCCACAGAACACTTTGGGCACTAGCCACAGAACACTTTGGGCACTAGCCACAGAACACTTTGGGCACTAGCCACAGAACACTGTGGGCACTAGCCACAGAACACTGTGGGCACTAGTCACAGAACACTGTGGGCACTAGCCACAGAACACTGTGGGCACTAGCCACAGAACACTGTGGGCACTAGCCACAGAACACTGTGGGCACTAGCCACAGAACACTGTGGGCACTAGCCACAGAACACTGTGGGCACTAGCCACAGAACACTGTGGGCACTAGCCACAGAACACTTTGGGCACTAGCCACAGAACACTGTGGGCACTAGTCACAGAACACTGTGGGCACTAGTCACAGAACACTGTGGGCACTAGTCACAGAACACTGTGGGCACTAGTCACAGAACACTGTGGGCACTAGCCACAGAACACTGTGGGCACTAGCCACAGAACACTGTGGGCACTAGCCACAGAACACTGTGGGCACTAGCCACAGAACACTTTGGGCACTAGCCACAGAACACTGTGGGCACTAGCCACAGAACACTGTGGGCACTAGCCACAGAACACTGTGGGCACTAGCCACACAACACTGTGGGCACTAGCCACACAACACTGTGGGCACTAGCCACACAACACTGTGGGCACTAGCCACACAACACTGTGGGCACTAGCCACATAACACTGTGGGCACTAGCCACACAACACTGTGGGCACTAGCCACACAACACTGTGGGCACTAGCCACACAACACTGTGGGCACTAGCCACACAACACTGTGGGCACTAGCCACACAACACTGTGGGCACTAGCCACACAACACTGTGGGCACTAGCCACACAACACTGTGGGCACTAGCCACAGAACACTGTGGGTACTAGTCACAGAACACTGGGTACTAGCCACAGAACACTGTGGGCACTAGCCACAGAACACTGTGGGCACTAGCCACAGAACACTGTGAGCACTAGCCACAGAACACTGGGTACTAGCCACAGAACACTGTGGACACTAGCCACATAACACTGTGGGCACTAACCACAGAACACTGTGGGCACTAGCTACAGAACACTGTGGGCACTAGCCACAGAACACTGTGGGCACTAGCTACAGAACACTGTGGGCACTAGCCACAGAACACTGTGGGCACTAGCCACAGAACACTGTGAGCACTAGCCACAGAACACTGGGTACTAGCCACAGAACACTGTGGGCACTAGCTACAGAACACTGTGGGCACTAACCACAGAACACTGTGGGCACTAGCTACAGAACACTGTGGGCACTAGCCACAGAACACTGTGGGCACTAGCCACAGAACACTGTGGGCACTAGCCACAGAACACTGTGAGCACTAGCCACAGAACACTGGGTACTAGCCACAGAACACTGGGTACTACCCACAGAACACTGGGTACTACCCACAGAACACTGTGGGCACTAGCCACAGAACACTGTGGGCACTAGCCACAGAACACTGGGTACTAGCCACAGAACACTGTGGGCACTAGCCACAGAACACTGGGTACTAGCCACAGAACACTGTGGGCACTAGCCACAGAACACTGTGGGCACTAGCCACAGAACACTGTGGGCACTCAGTGTTCTGTTGTTCGTGATGCAGATACTCCTAGAAAGTAACATTATCACAAACATTCTCGTTAAAAATGAAGAAAGTGAAACTGCTTAAAGATGCTTTAAGAGAAGGGAAGTGTTGGATTTATGTACCAGAAAGATACAGGAATCTTGAAGCTGTGAACAAAAGTTTTGTAAGGATATGAGGTTATGACAAGACTAGTAAATATATCCAGACCGAGATTTCAATTTAGATACAACAAAGTTAGAATAATTCTACGAATTTGTCACGATACTTGAAGCACAGATAAAGGAGTTTGTAAATGAGATCAAGTTTGTATGTAAACTTGTTTCTTAAAAGCAAGAGCAGGGAAAGAAACGAAAATGAAATAAGAGATAGGATTATAGTGAAGTTAAATATGAAAAGGAAAATCTTTCTCCATCTGACAGTTTCAGAATTCCCACATTTTTTCCCCAATAACTGACAAGTTATTTGCAAGACTTTATCACCAACGTGAAGCATTCAGTGTTCTGCCAGAAACATTACTCGGTTTGTCAGATTAGAGTTCAGTGTCACTGCACACAAAATTTAGTGAAAATCACTGCCTTACCTGGAGTATACCTCGAGAGGGTTTCGGGGTCAACGCCCCCGCGGCCCGGTCCGAGACCAGGCATCTTGGTGGATCAGGGTCTGATCATCCAGGCTGTTACTGCTGGCTGCATGCAAACTGACGTAGGAACCACAGCGCGGCTGGTCAGGTACTGACTTTAGGTGTCTGTCCAGTGCCTTCTTGACAGCTAGGAGTCTATTGGTTATCCCCCTTATATATGCTGGGAGGCAGTTGAACAGTCTTGGGCCCCTGACACTTATTGTGTTGTCTCTGTGCACTCGTGACCCCCCTGCTTTTCATTAGGGAAATATTACCTCTCCTGCTGAGTGTTTTGCTTTCATAGGAGTGATTTTCGTGTGCAAGTTTGGTACTAATCCCTTCCTTAGTTAAACTTCATACAAAATACTTAAAGTAAGAGTGTGGATGTGAAGTTATATTTTTCGACCCACCTTACAGAAACATACTGTGTCCTGTTGCTAACTAAAACAATACTCGGTGTAAAGAATCGCCTGAATTGCTTAGCGGTTCTATTGCTCAGTAAACTTTAACTAATAGAGATATTCCCAAATCTTTCCATAGCATTGTTAATCTGTGCTTGACGGTCACTAACACCTCCGGTCAACCATCATTCTCTACATCAAACCATATAAAAAGAAGTATCTACGATCAGCAACGCATTAATGCAGTCTCCTACACAACCCGCACATAAAGAGAACCTTACAATGATGTTTCGGTAAGACTTGGACTATTTACAAAGTCACCGAAACGTCGTCGTAATCTCCTCTCTCCTATGTGCGGGTTGTTTTGTTCCAGTCACATCATTGTGCCTTTTGTTCTATATGCAGTTCCCTCTCTGTATAGCAAATAATTGCTTTAGCAAATTGGATTAAGATGATGTAATTGCAGATTTTGCAAGTCGTAAGTCATGAAAAGTAACATGAAGTAACATGAGAGACATTGTCTAAGTGTTATATTAAAATTGTGAATTCAGATTTATCATTTAATATTTTTTTGTGAATTACGTATAAGTCCATTGAAAAAATGGATACCCGGGTGACTTGTTCACTAAACGAGACCAGAAATCGGGTAATATCGGCAATAAATCACTTATTTCTTTATTATATTGTAAAAAAGAGATAGAAACGAGTAGTCACTTTTAAAAATGAAATATTGTACAAACTGTGTAAAAGAATAAAGAGCTTTAAAGTATAAATGTAAAAAGGTACAGAGGGCATGAACAAAGTGGCTTTAGTGGCCACGCTGACGCTGCTCGGGGAACAAAGCCACAGT